GGTTGTGTGGAGTTGGCCGGGGGACTCAAGCCAATCAGAAACGGAGAAATATTTTGAGTAAAATAATATGATGAATAGCGTTCATGTGTACGCACTTTCTGAACCTTAAAGATTTTTTTCCTTTTTGTTCTTTAAAGTTTACCTATTTAAGATACACTGTCAGGGGGGATCAATAGTAACGTTTATTTGCTAATTACTATTTTTATTATTTTCATTTTAGATTACAAAGAAAGGACAAGGACACTTTTATTTAATATTTTGAAACATGGAGGATTATTCCATTGCAGAGTTAAAAACTTATGTTAAAGTTTGGTTTGGAGTGGTAAGTTTGGATCTAAGTCGAAAAGGACTCCCCAGGATACCTGATGCAGTCACTGAACTGACTGAAGTGCAGGAACTTACGCTGCATAACAATAACCTGACTGAATTACCAACAAGTATTATCAAGCTTAAAAATCTTATCAGGCTGCATTTGAATATTAACAAACTTAAAGAACTTCCTTCTGAGATTGGTGACTTAAAGGAGCTGAGGACACTGTATGTGAGTTGGAACCAGCTGGTTAGTTTACCTACCAGTATACAGAAGCTGAACCAGCTTGAGAAGCTGGACTTGTCTTGGAACAGACTTACAGAACTTCCTTCTGAGATTGGTGACTTAAAGGAGCTGAGGAGCCTGCGTATGTGTTCTAACCAGTTGGTTAGTCTACCAACCAGTATACAGAAGCTGAACCAGCTTGAAAGTCTGTACCTGTCTGGTAACAAACTTACAGAACTGCCCTCTGAGATTGTTGAGTTAAAGAAGCTGAGGACGCTGGATGTGAGTAACAACCAGTTGGTTTGTTTACCTACCAGTATACAGCAGCTGAACCAGCTTGAACAGCTGTTTTTGCTTGGGATCAAACTTACGGAACTGCCATCTGAGATAGGTGACTTAAAGAAGCTGAGGGTGCTGGATGTGAGTCACAACCAGTTGGTTGGTTTACCTACCAGTATACAGAAGCTGAACCAGCTTGAGAACCTGAACTTGTCTTCCAACAATTTTACGGAACTGCCTTCTGAGATTAGTGACTTAAAGAATCTGAGGAGGCTGAATGTGAGTAACAACCAGTTGGTTGGTTTACCTACCAGTATACAGAAGCTGAACCAGCTTGAGTGGCTGTCTTTGCTTTGGATCAAACTTACAGAACTGCCATCTGAGATAGGTGACTTAAAGGAGCTGAGGTTCCTGTATGTCAGTCACAACCTGTTGGTTAGTTTACCTACCAGTATACAGAAGCTGAACCAGCTTGAGTATCTGGACTTGTCTGCTAACAATTTTACAGAACTGCCTTCTGAGATTGGTGACTTAAAGAAGCTGAGGAGGCTGAATGTGAGTAACAACCAGCTGGTTAGTTTACCTACCAGCATACAGAAGCTGAACCAGCTTGAGGAGCTGGACTTGTCTGCTAACAAGTTTACAAAACTGCCTTCTGAGATTGGTGACTTAAAGGCGCTAAGGAAGCTGACTGTGAGTGGTAATCCTTTGACCTCTGATGCAAAACATTTTCTTGAGACGACGATAAAAGGAATGACCGGTACGCTTATTAAAGGTGAAATTGTCGTTAAGTTACTAGAATGGTACTTTTATTATTTATAGATGCGAAATATTTCAGTGGTCCCATTGTTTTTTATCTTTGTTTTTAATAAGGCTCGAGCAAAATTGGAAATGGCCAAATTAAACTTTCCTTTATACTGAAACTACTCACTACGCTGAGCATAAGTGAGGAAAAGATTCGTCGGAAATTTAATTTTTTGGGACTGACTCCTTGAAAATTCGTTTTGTTCAGTAAATATTTGAAATAAATGCATGAAGTAAAAATCATTTTTACTTAATAAGGAAATGCCATTCTTTTTCTCAACAAAAACGTTATCAGTTTTCCTACATCCTCCCCCCCGCCCTCCGTCTACTGATGACCTCCGTTTATTGCCCAGTTTACAAGAGGAAGGGAAATACATTATTTTCTCTAATTTCTGAACAAAGGTTTTTTCGATCAAAGCTTTAACAGGATGTAAATATTTTACCCGACACCTTTTTGCGTTGCAAGCAAATTGAAATGTGCACTTGAGAAAAATAGCACTTTTTTACAGCTGCTTTTCGCCGTTGATTTTCTTTTAATGTCACCGGGGCGATGTTAAGTGAGAGCTTTTTAATAGTTTGTATTTTTTAAGTTTTACAGTCAGTTATCGAGTAGAACAACGATTATTGGTTTTCAAAAACAGGTCTCGTGTGGTTAGCGGTTGATTTACGCATAAAACTGTCCCCAGATAACTTAGCATGATCTAATATGTTTTCTAGCAAAAGAGACTGCTTCGAATGGGCTACTTAGTAATTACTCAGTAGCACCCAACGACGATTTCCTCCTACATACGTTGAACACACTCTCTAGGCTATCCAGAGTACTCTTTGATCTTTAGAAATAAACTCCAATCGGCGCTACAGAATTTGAATCTGTTCGGTCATCCTAAGGCAACTTAAGTCTTTTCGAAATTTCGAGGACTTCAGTATTATTTCAGATGCAATTTTAAGTTTTACGAAAGTAAGAATTTGTCTAATTCCTCTCTCCATCAATTTTCGGTTCGATCCCTTTTTCTACGGAAAATATCTTAACCTGGGGAGTGAAATGCGCAAAATTATAAAATTTAAAAAATCTTAGTGAATTTATTAGGTATAAGCCGCTTCGAAAATTGTAAGTGAATGAAGTGAAGAAATTTTTAGCCTTCCTCAAGCTATAGAAAACTTAAAATAATTTTTGCTTCTCCAAACAAATATTTTACAGAAAACAATCATTGGGTGCCCCTGATTATTGAATGAGGTTGAGTATGATATGAAGAATTTTGCAGATCGAGGAGGATTTTAGGTGGATAACAGCCTACGAGATTTGCGGAATTCTTAACATCATTTGAAAGCCACTCCTAATTTCGGGCTGACGTACCGTACAAATGGCTAATTACCACTGTAGTTAGGATTACTGCCGCAAGTGGGCAAATGCAAGTTGTGTTATTTTAAATGTAGCAACTTTTTCTTTGACACCCAGTTCTCAAGTGGGGTACTCCGGATCTCAAGTGACGGGATGATCGAATGGGGACAAAATCAACCCCCCCCCCCCCCCCCAAAAAAAACCCTAGGGTGTCTAACAAAACCCAAACACCACTCGAGACACCCGAGAACATCTTCTGTTTCATCAATAACATAAGAATGACAACTTCAAATTGGTTTGAATACGCAAAAAATCCCCACGTAAATGAAACACCAACCAAAAAAATACCGGAATCGAAAATTTCAAGCCCAAAAAAATCCGTCAATCACGCCCTTCACTTGAGATCAGGAGTACCCCCTCGGACCCACTTATTTAAGTCGTTAGTGAGGAAAAGTCTTTGTCGATATCCAGTGAAGTTTTTCAGAGCTTCCATTTATTTCACTTGCTAACATTAAAACTGATCTTTAAAAGTATCGACAGCGAAAAACCAAAAGTAATACGATCAATCAAAATTTGTACCATTCAACGTGATATGCGAACGTTAATTTGTGTTTCATTTCTCTGAAGATAAAACTGAAGTTGAAGACAATACCTATCTCAGCCAAAACAGAATTGTCATCAAAAGGTAAGTACCGTTTGAAGTATAAAAATTCAGTGCCGGGAACCTCCGATGGCGACAATAGCAGTGAAAAGTTACTTACAAATATTATTTGTGTAAAGGTACCTCCGAGACGTTGTTTGTCGACCTCTGGTGAGTCCTCAACCGCTTCGATTTTCGAAACTGGTGATAGAGGAAGACCTACCGATAACCTCGTAATCAGAAATAACAAGCTTGAAAATTTACCCAAAAAGAGAAAAGTTAACTTAGATATGCTAGACTTGTTAAAAAAAAAAAAGAAAGCGGCAGTGAAACATTCTTGTTCTGGACGAGATTAGGTACCGTGAAGTCTTGCTTTAGATAGTTTTCCTTTTTCATCCTTCCACACCAGAATAGTGATCGGCAGGCCTGAGTGATCGGGGAAATCGACCTTTCCTCTCTGGAGAGCGTTATTTAAAAAGTTGCGTTTTAGTGTGTGCTTAATTCTGATATGCGTTATATCTGTAGCCGTAACTAATTCCACGGAACAAGATGCTGTTTTCAAAGAGCCGAAAAAGGCGTCTGCTCTCGCAGGCTTGGATACGTGTGGACGGGGCCTAATGTTTTTAATGTCTTTTATTTTTTGCACGGGTTGAGTGCATCGTGTGCACTCTACATCTGCAACATAAGTTTTGCGTAAAGGGCAAAAAGGCCATATTTTACCTGGCGTTTTGAATTTTCAGGTGTGCGAAACTTGTTGGAAGTACAATTACGTTCTTTTCAGTATCCTTATTATTTAAAAGATGATCTGACTAGTCTCATCGAAGACCCCGCAGTTTGAAAAGTGTTTCGCACACTGTAGCAGTACGCATAATTATACATCGCGGACAAGCATCCGACTGAACGTCGCGGCCAAAACATACGAAATGTTTTTTTTTTCTTTTTTTTTTCAGTAGAGAATTGTTTGAAATTCGACACCAACAGACTTTGTTTAGTTTCTTTGCTGAACGCTAAGGGTAGGGTGTCCTAATTTTGGAGGATAAAAGCAGCTAAGAGTTGATGTTGAATGATATAGTTAACATTATATTTCATTTATATTTCAATACGACGATTTTTTTGCCTTGAACTTTTTCATAAAGAGGAAGACTAGCATTGACCCCTGCACTGCGTAGAACACAACCTTTATTGTCCAGTCTCTGTCCCCATCCGCCCAAAAAACTTTAAAAATTATCTTTTTCATTTATTGTAGATTTTACTTGAACGTTTAACTAGGGAAAGATATGTTTTGAAAACAACTGACTATCAAAATTTTGGCTCATTGCAGAGAAATAGTCGCAAGTGAAGGTTCCCGTTTGGCCCTCAAAAAAGGGGCTGTCCATCTCATATTCCATCCAAATGCTGTGTCTGAGCCTACGTCAATAGTGGTGTACAGATGGAAATCCAGTGTCTGCTCACCCCCACTACAAGAACACGAGGCCCTTGTCAGCAATGTTATTGAACTATCTTCCCACGATGGCCAACGCTTGCAATTCAATGCCATGGTGACTTTATCAGTTTCTCACAGTGCACCGGGCCTACGGGGCTACGAAGTGGTGATAAAAAGGCAGATCAACAGGAAGACCAATGAATGGAAAGACGTGAGTGGAACCAAGGACTTGCGCCGTCGCCAAGGTATAGAAATTTTCTCTATGTAGTGGATTTATGGCAACTATAGAGAACCGTTTGGCAGATCCTGCATGTTTCCCTAAGCGGGAGGCAGGGTACGTCATCCGTATTGCTGAAGGGTTTGTTTGTTTATTTTTTTTGAGATAGTGTTTATTTATTAAGTGTTGCAGTTGCGATTGCGCTGTCGATCTGAAGCTTGTTTCCAGTCTTGATTTCTATAACGTCAGTCTTTTTTAGATGGCAAAGGAAATAAAAAAAGAGCATAATTATTATGATAGTTACATTTTACTTGTATTTTTTGTCGGTAGCAGATATCGAAGATGAGCACCCTTCTTACAAGGATATACCAGACCTTTTATTCCCCGTTGCCCAAGCTGATATAAATGAGAACTCAACATATGCAGTGGTTTGCCGTCTCAAATCTTCTCCGCCTTACACCATCACATCTACTGGCGGTTTATTCATTCATCCTGATTATCCAGGCGTGACGGTTACAGTCCCCGAGAATGCTGTTGCACCCGAGTCACCGTTTACCCTGGAGTTAAAGGTTGGTGTGATTCAAAATAAAGACAGTATTGACATGCGGGCAAATAAAATCAGCCCCAAGGCAAAGTGCAACGGTTTCTTATAAATGACGATCTAATAATGACCAGTCTAGAGGGCTTGACTGAAAAATCGTTTACTGAATATTTGGAGCGATCTTTTTGTTCCTTGAATTACGTTAACGTTTTATTTAACTGGGGAATCCACGTCAATTTTAACCATAAAAGAATAGAATGAAATTAACTGCTGATGATTACTCTTTTAAATGGTACAGGTGCAAGAAGTTCCAAATGAAGAATTTAAAGGAGAAGATGTATTTCTTGGACCTATTCTGCGAATTAATTGCTTTGAATTTATCCAGCTTTTAAGACCTGTTACCATTCAGCTGCCAGTTTCTCTTCGAGACCAACAAGACTTTAAACCAGATCCCATTGAATACCGTGTGAGAGTGTTTTTCATGAATTGCGAGGAGGAAAAAAAGGAATGGACTGAACTCACTGATCTTGTGGAACCGACACAGTTTGATGCAAAGTTTGTTAGGATCCAAGTCCAAAGATTTTCTAGGTAAAGATACTTAAGAAATCGCTAGTATTTACCAGATAGATGGCCAGTTGAGTCCCTTTTTGTCCAAAATGGTGATCCAAGTTCATTCAACGTTGTCGGGTGCAACATTTTAGAGCCGTTTGAACACCATGTTGAACGGCGCTGGGTGTTGCTGGATCTTGTTTGAACGTTCAAACTTAACATTCAACATCGTCAGTTATTTCTTTTGTTCAGGTGTGCGATGGCCTCAATGTTGAATGGGCGAACGCTCAATTAAACTCGCCCCTTTTCCACGAAAATCCCGCCTCCCACACTTTTTTCATCCGTGACTTTCCCGAACCCCACCTTTTTTTTTGAAAATATACAAGTAAAAAAAGTCCAATTGTTGCCAAAGCGAATAAATGTAAGATGTAGATAGGCCATTGCGATTGATATTTAGCCTCTTCACTTGTGCTTCACATTTCTTGTAAATAATCAGCTCAGGATTCCCTCTTCATCTACACAAGGCCCTATTCAACGAAGTCGGATGATGCGAAGCAGTGGCACTGCTTAACAACTTCTTTGCAGTTGGTGGGTCGGCCTAAGCGCACCGTTAGGTTCTTAAAATGCGTCGAAGTAATAAACAAAAATGCCGGTACCTCTTTCAAAGCATCTCTAAGTCAAATTTTCAAACAATACCCATGCGAGGCGATTTTAGTTACCATCTGCCTGTCAGGTGGTTAGCAAAAAATATCAACTCAAAAAGTAGAAAAGAACGTTTTTCCTTTTCAATCGACTGGAAACTTTTTCTTGGGCTCAGTGATTTACGTAGAATAATCCAACATTTGACCGTTGCCATTTTAAGACTCGTAACAATCTATCTACCCTGCTTTACACTAATTTTTCGATTTTTTCGTTGTTTTAGATATTCGTTTAGCCTTGAGCGGCGTAAAGAAAACTCCAGAGATTATGGACAGGGGATTTTAAGTTACCTTACCCGCTTCACTAGAACGCAGCCCCAAGCAGCAAGTTTCGTCGCTTACTTTCGTCCACATATTCCAAACATTTTGTCCCTTATTTGTTGCCCTGCTCACCTCAGAGAAGAGGTGATTCAGAATCTTGAAAAAAGGGAAGTAACGTTTGCTGATGGCAACTCGATGGAAGATATGATACCTGGAGAGGACAAAGCCTTTGTGTTTTTGTCAGGAGGAATGCGCCCATTTGATGAGGAAGACCTGGAAAGAATTTTTCTCAAGTAAGCTAATTTATTGCTTATTCAAAATATTTTCTTATTTTCTTGAAAACCAACCAACGTTGACCAAATTCGGAAGACGTTTACAATATCCAGAAAATGACGTCAATGCTGCAGCTTAATGCCAATAAAATGGACTGCGGCCGAAAAGTCCTGATAAGAGTTTGAGTTGTGTTGGTAGATCAGTACAAAATGGCGGAACATACATCACTGTGCATGCTTTTTAAGAACAGACCGATCTGAACAGTCATCATTAATAGCTGAATTCTCTCCGGTGACTGGACAGTTCTGTCTAATGGTAAGCGAAAGATTACGTCGGCACTATATCATGCATGTTTCTGTCTTACATTTAAACAGGTTATTAAAAGACGATATTAAGTTTAAGACTGAATTGCGAGTTCTTCTCGTTGATGACGAAGACCTAGCACAAGTGGAATTTCGAAACACCTCGATACACACGGACAGAATGCGTCTGTTGTGTAAGTTTCACTTAACTTTGCCCTCTCGCAAAATGCCTCGCGCGGTAAGTATAACCTATCATTTTAAGCTTGAGCATTTCATCTGTTCAAATCTTCTATCAGTTGAATAATTCTAGGTCGGTTATTTCACGGAATTTAGCATATGTTTAACAAATCCACGAGTACCGCGTTCTAGGTCATTTCATCAGTTTGCCAAACCGGCTATTATATCTAAACACTGTTTATCGTTAATAATTTCATGAAAGCACATAGTGTAGACTAGAAAAGCATTTATATGGAGATTCCATGATTTCTTAAACCGCGGCCTAAGTTAGACTTCGTTTCAATAACCAACCAGTTGTATTGCAACTTAAGAGTGAACGAGCAGTTTGGTCAAGGTACACTGTAGTTGTAAGTTGTTTCTTGTAGAATTTTAGCCTGCCCAAGCAATGAGAAAGTTACTCAAATTGCTGCAGGTATTAAAATTAAAATCATGTCATTAAAGACAATCAAGACTTTCCTCTTAATTAATATTACAAATATTAACATTCCAGTGGGTATTGTGAGAAAACAGCCAACATTTCGCGACGCAACCACTGTTTTCCCCGCGAAATTACGTCTGAGAAACGAGTGCAGAAATTCCATACTGATGACGTGTTTCCACCCAGATCTGAGTAGTGTTTCTGATCGGTTGAAGCAAAATTCCATCGAATAAGAAGCACTACCCAGATCTCTAAAACCTCTTAGTTCAGAGTCTTTCTGACCCTCATTCGCAATCAAGGTTACGGTCTCTATGCTATTCAAAAATTATAATTTTTCACCTTTTATGCCTTTCTAGGCAGGTCAGGATTTGAGAGAGCTTGAGCGACAGCCTGGTAAGTTTTCAGTTTTTCATGATATATTTCCACTTCTTTTACTCAAATTTAATTCAGTTTAGGTAGGCTCCTGGTTTTAAGATATTGCCTTATGATCTTCTATAAACTGTGTCTGCAAGATTAGCTTGTGACTCCGGCATTATCAGAACTTGTAAGCTTTAATGGAACGGATATCTCAAATTTATTGGCTGTTCTCAAGACTTTAGAGGGTCTTTAGAAGCTTGCCAGTCAATTTTCGGTTTGGACGGTCTGTGAAGTCTGTGCAGTTGAGACATCGAAGTCCACCAAACGTGAAACCACCATTCACTAACAGCCATCCTATGGCGCTAGCTTACTCACAATCCCGCACAATCAATAAATAACACTGTATGAAGAAGAGCAGCAGTGGAAACGTCGTTCTTTTATTCGGGAGTGTCCGTATCGCTCTTTGTTTGCTCTGAATGTCTTATTTGTGTGCATGCCGTATTCGCCACTTTGAGGTTGCGCGGGAGACCGGGGCGAGGTGGTTTTCAAAGGGCATTGTGGGACTGTTTTGACAAACTTGGCGCCATGTTGAAAATGCGCGCCCCAAAACAGTCCCACAATGCACTTGACAACCATCTCCACCCGGTCTCCGCGCAACCTCAAGGTAGCGAATTCCATCGGTCCAAGAGAGAATAATGGAAGAGAGAGGGAAACGCCCAGTCTCCCTATCCCTTCACCAAAGTTATTCCCTTCACCAAAGTTATTTTTAGACCAATTATACGCTTGAATTAATCGGAAGTCGGTTTCCGAAGAGGGCCGCAAACTTTCATTCAGTGTTGTCAGGAGAGAATTTAACAGTCGCCATTACAATATTCTGCATTTTTTGTTTTGAGGAAGTTAACGCGTGGACTTGATGACATTTCAAACCGACCAGTGCCCTAAGATTCCCCCTTTGTCTCATTACTCTCCCTTGGTCGGTCTGAAGATGGCCATGAAGGCATCGATTGCTTAGCATGTTGATCGTTTTTCTTTCCACAGAAATCAAAGATGGCAGTCCATCACCCGATGAACTGGAAGGTCTATCAGAAGAAATTAGTGAGAAGTGGAAAAAGCTTGGTCGTCGGCTACATTTCGGTGAAGCACAAATAACAGAACACGACAAAAACAACGATAAACTTTCTGAAAAAGCATACAAATTGCTGATGGCTTGGAAAGGAAGGGACGCCTCAGCTGCAACTTACAGTGTTTTGCACAAAGCACTGTCCGACGTAGAACGCAGAGATTTAGCACAAGGGTTTTGTTGTCAGTGAAAAAGGTATTTTGCCATTTTCTTTACATTATAGAACTACTGCAGCCGGATATTGAAAAGTTAAAAGAGGCCTGTTAAAAGTTTGCAACGATACGTGCTCTTGAATGCCTTGACCTGGAATTTCATCGTGTTGAACGTTTCATCCACTCTCATTTCGTGTTATGTGGTCTTTTACTAAATCTAGCGAAAGCAAAAAAAATAGGTTGATCCCAAGTTAGATAAATAGCTTTATTTTTCGTATTTACTGCTCCCATGCTCACTTAAAAGCCATTTCTTAAACTGTGATAAGAGGTCTTAGCCAATAAGATATGTTTCTAATGTAAAAGAAAAATCAGGCAGTTCAATTAGAGTTTGATTGGATGGGTTTCTTGGCACTTTTTGTCCGCCTTGTTCATGTCTTCAGCTTTCCCGCCTCAGTCGTCCCATAAGGGTCGGTTTCTATCTGTAAAGTTTTTATCTCTATCGAAAATTTCACACAGTCACAAAGCCTGCTTGTTGGTTTTCTGATATGACTGAACCAACTCATTTTCAAGTCGTGCATTGAAAATTAAAAAAGTCTGTTTCAGCCCCAAAGTACCAATTTAGCCCTGCAGGGTAAAGTCTAATTCAGCCTCCACTGAGCCATTTGAGCACAATTTAAGCCAAGAGAGCTCAATCAAAAGCCTATTCAAGCCCTAGCTAATTGGACTGAATTGACCTTGATAGGGGAGCCACATTAGACCCGAAAATTGCGCTGTATTATGCTCATCGAAACGGCCCAGATCTTTCTGGTTTACATGCAGTGTGCGTAAATTGTTCGCGCGCACTGTTACCAGTATTCCCTATGTCTAATGTCATGGCTACGTCAACGAGTAAACTTTATTGTCTTTTCCACAGTTTATGGAGAGGAGAGAGAGATAATCACAAGGTACGTTTTTTCCTTTTCTTTTAAAAAGCGGAAAAATTCCTCAGTCCAGCGAAAACTTGGGAGCCGCTAACCTGAGTTTCAGGCTTGGGAGAGCTGGAGATTTGAAAAGACGATCGCGGAAGAGGGCGGGGGTGTGGGAAGAGAAATAATGAGGAAAACTGCATGACCGTAAAAGGTTGTTGAGTGGCCAATATGAATCAAACCCTTCAAGGGTAAAAGAGTCCGTGTCTATTCGCCAGGGCTTTTTTTCCCTTTACTCGCTTCCCTCTTTGGGCCTATTCTTCTCGTCTTCTCTCTGCTGCGTTTCCCTTTACTGCGAACCCGTCATAATTCATTTGGGAGGGGTGGGGGGTGACTGGTAAAAGGAAAATGGAAGGGACTGCAGTGGTTTCTCTGACTTGGTTTTTCATTTTGTTAAACCATACTGTTATGTGTCATTAGTTGTGCAATCAAACTGACGCACTCTTGTTGTGCTTTCTTTTACAGAGGGGTTTCGTACTATTTTCCGACTTCGAGAGAAGGAACTGGAAAAAAACTGAACAGACCAGCAAAACTGAGCAATGAATTTGAATCATCTTTGTAAAGAGACTTTCTGGTTTCTGACGATGGAGGATCAAAAAACTGTGTGTATATTCCGCTTTCAAAATATATTACCTCATCAAAGCAACTCACCCACGAAGACCTGAGGAAGGCAGCGTCATGAAATATTTTGAAGACAACGACTCTGCTGGTTAGTGAAGTATGTTAATACTAATTTGCCTTGATCTCAGTTCTTGACACTGGTTATTCAAGGCTTTAAAACCTTGGTCGTGAAAGAATTGTTTTCACAGCACAACTTGTTTTTTCTCTGTTTTCAGTGATGTTTTCATTGGTGACGCCGTCTTTATTGCGTAAACTGATCTCTTGTGTTTCCTGGGACGGAATCAAAGATAGAACTCGGCTTTAATAAGATCAAATATTAGAACAAGGACGCGGAAAATGTCGCGAGTAAAAGTGTTCTGTTGGCCACTGACGTCATAGAGTTTGCAATATTAGGGAGCTTAAGCAAACACAACAGGAACGGCAACGAGAACGACAAAAAAACAATAAGTTTAGATTAGCAAAACAACAACTTTGCACGTGCATCACGCTGTGAGTTTTTGTACATTTCTTTGCCGTTGTTGCACGACTACAACGTGAAACCGTCTGGTTTCACGTTTTATAGAGGACGTGAACACAAGACAACAATTTTCTTTTTCTTTTTCTGATCTTAGATACAGTCCTTTTAGAATTAACTCCTGAAAAATTCCCCAACATTTGACAAAATAAATGAAATGAGCTAAGATTAATGAAGTTTGAAAAAGCACGAGTTCACTTTTTAACTGACGTTTTCGCTGCCGTTGCCGTTGCTTAAGCTAACAGATTTTTGGCGATAAACAGTTTCATTGTTAGGTCATGTGACCTTAATGTAAGCAGTGACAGCGAGTGGTTAGCCTGTTCCAGGTGAGTGGTTAGCCTGTTTCAGGTGTTCAGATAGTGGAGTGCGGCGCGAAGTGAGAGAGCGGAAAAAAATAAGGAGAAAGGGAGGGAGGGAGAGGGAGAGAGGAGGGAACCCCCTACCCCACCCCCTCGATGTTTTTCCTTCGCACATCTCTCTGCGCTGTCCTTACAATCTGAACGCCTGGAACAGGCGAGTGGTTTGTAGGAAAAAATCTAGCTATGATTGTAAAAGCGTGTTTAATTTAATGCCGGTATAAGCACCACTTTAGATTTACGCCTAATGAGAGAGAAAAAGAATTAAATAAGAACGGTTACTTTTTTAGTAACATAGTTATTCCTTATGTTTCAGCCTGATGGGGCAGAGCTCTTCCATTTTGATGATGGATTTTCATCTTGGAATGCCAACCTCACAAGCTTCGTGACAGGTAATACATGGGATGATCATAGGATTTTGCATGGTGCTGCAAACCGCTTTGAAACATGCATAGACATGATCAACAGTCCGCCACGTCACTATGACGTAATGACCTGCAGTAACACGCTTGTGCTAGGACACGCGCACGAGCTTCACGTTCATAAAAACAGATTACACCTCGTGTAAGAAATCACAAGCAAACGGCGGTTACAAACATGTGGAAAACCACATTGCTGGAAAAACTTATATCCTTTAGCTTGACTTTTCGTATGGTACAACATTCATCTTCAGATGTAACCATCAATTCAAATATTAACAGAACACTATAAAGGCTATCAGTTGCCAGTAAGTCATTTGATTAGTTAGTCCGTCAGTCAGTCAGTCAGTCATCTAGTCAGTCATTCAGTCATTTTATCAGTCAGTCAGTCAGTCAGTCAGTCAGTCAGTCAGTCAGTCAGTAAGTCATTCAATCAGTCAGTTAGTAAGTCAGTCAGTAAGTCATTTATTTAGTCAGTCATTTAGTCATTCAGTCGCCCAGTCAGTTAGTAAATCATTCAGCTATCCAGTCAATCAGTAAGTTATTCAGTCAGGTTAGTCGTTTAATTTGTCAGTCAGTCAGTCAGTCAGTTAGTCATTCATTCCGTCAGTCACATAGTTATTCAGTCATTTAGGTGAGTCATTCTGTGAATAAGTTAGTCATAAATTGATCAGTTGGGTTGTCCTTCCGTCCGGTTAGTTGGTCTGTTTGTCAGTCATCCGGTTAGTAAGTTAGTGTTTCATTTAAATAAGTAATAATAGCCTTTCTGTAATGACAATAAAAAATAATAACAATAATAAGAATAGTGTAATTTATTTAAGTGTCAAGGTATTCAGCTTTGCCGGTAATATGTGACACTATTAAACTCTATTCACTAATCAAATGTCATGTTGACATGAAAAGCTATCCAGTATAGTAATGTATCTGAGAGGTAAAAATGAAGATTCTATAGTTAAACAGGCCTTACAAATTTCAATTGACCTTCATCATAACGGAAAAACTAGCTTTTACTCTAATCTCATGAAAATGGTTGACTACTATGATCTAAACTATGACTTTTCCTGTAACTCATTGAGTGACTCAATAGTTAATAGGTATATCGGCATAATGAAAGATAAATACGTCTCTTACTGGAATCAGACCCTTCAACAATCACAAAAACTCAGTTTATATTGTACAATCAAAGACGACTATAGCCCCTCGCCGTACCTAGTTTTAACAAGAAAAAACCCTTCGAGAAAAGCATGACGGTTTGCTCGATTTTACAGCATAAAAACAAAAGCGATGCGTGGTATCAACCGTAAAATTCAACAATAACTCACAAATAACTCCTCTGCCATTTATTGGCAATTGCAAGAGAGCACGGTACGTTACAGTCATTGCTTTTGTGTACTTGGAGAACAAACAAAATTCATCCAACAAATCAAATCAATCCTGCAGGAAATACCCTGTTGACAAACTCTCACGAAATCATATACCCTTTGCGATAGAGAGCAAGTAATAAACCATACCCTGTCCAGCGGCACATCCCCATAGTGTATAGGCTATATAAGGGTGTACCATCCAACCCGGGTGAGAAACCAGCCGAAACGATTTTCAGAAGCAGGATCAGTCATGTTCTGGGTATCCCTACCGGGCCTACCAGGGGATACCGGCCCAAATCACTGTGTCCTTAGAACACCACTCACAAACTGAGTATAGTTGAGGCAAGAACAAGAAGTCCAAAGACTACTGCAAAGCTGATTTAAAACAGTTAACGTGTATTGTTTTTTATAACTTTATTTCGGCTGGCCATACCAGCCTTCTTCAGGTTTACAGATGTTACTGAACTTATGTAGCAATCACAATATTATATAGACGGAGAATGTGGCAATAAAAATAGTTTAAAAGGGAGAGGCGGAAATGAAGTACAACACAAAAACTGGAAAGGAAAAATACTAAAGAGATGGATTACAATAATTCGTCACGGCGGTTTAGGCCATGAGGTTCAAGGGTCATGGCCTTATCTATCAAATGCGACTCTCTGGCCTTACGAACTGAGTCACGTGAAGAATGAATTTTCTGTAGTGGGATTAACTGCATGTAGCTCTTTTTTTTTTGAGGTAGCTCTTTTTTCTAATTTCATGGTCTTTTCAAGAAGACATTATTTCTGCCTTCTCTAGGCAGGGGAACTTCACACAGTTGTCCGCAGCCTGTCGGTACAGTCGCACCGGCTCCCCTCAAAACAAAGAGAGCTCAAATTTAGCAACGACGGCAGCGAAAACGTCTTTGTTTAAAATGAATTCGCTTTTTTTCAAACTTTGTCGCGTTTATTCCAACTCGCTTAAAGAATAATAATTCTTGTAAGAATGAATTTTCTTGGAGCCGGTTAAATTCTTGGGACTACAGCCAAGCTTAGAGACGGAAAGTAACATTCTTCTTTGTGTGTTTACATCCTCTAAAATACGTTGCATAAGGAAATTTCACGTCTTGGTCGTGCAGGGACGCCCAAGGAAATGTACTTAAAAGCAAGCTGGGTGTGCAAAATTGTTGTTTTGCCAATTAAGGGAAATTATTAAGGGATGGATCATTATAAAAGAGTTGGGAAGGGGGAATGGGTGGTGATTTTAAGACATTCAAGATTGATGCAAGACTTTTTTTTTTGGAACATGTAATTAAGGTGGGAATCTTTTTTTTTTCCTCCAAGGGCATATATATATTTTTGGCCAAAATCCTTAGGAATATTTTTTGTTATTAATAATTTCCTGGGTAAATTTCTTTTTGGTTTTACTCTACCCCCACCACTCCTTCCCGCCCCACATGACTTTTCAAACGGTTCATCCCTAAACCATGGCCAATTACTTTTTTGACGTTGTCAGTGCCGTCGCCGCCCTTCTTGCTAAACTGCCTCCCTAAAATCAATCAAGGAAAATGAGAAAGCGACAGAATCGCTCTTTCAGATTTTTTTAAGGAGAGGGGGCACAGGCAGCCCAAGCTCACGTCACGTGAAAGGATTAGATTAATTATTAGCGGTGTGCGAGCCGGGACGTGACTGTTCAACGAAAGCGGTATTGGGTTACATGGCGGCCGTGAATTTATAAAGGATTTGTATGGGAATCCACGTTATAGATTTAGGAAGATAAATACTCGTAGAAATTCTCAATAAAAAACGTCTTACCTTATTTACATGGTGTGTTCTTTGCTTGCTGTGTGGTTATTTTCCCGATCCGGTGCGATTTTAGCGATTTTTTTCATTTCTGAGTTTGAAACTCAGAAATGAAAAAAATGGGCTGGGCTGCCTGTGGAGGGGGCGGCTGATAGCCAACTTTGCAGCCGGACTTGTCACTCGGACGTTTCGAAATTTAAACGTCGCTAGCGGCGAGGAGCGAGGAAAGATGGCTGTATTCGTAGGTTATCTAGGGGTATTTGATCTCGTACCCAGATCTCACTCTGTCTTACGGGAGATCTGGTATGACGACTAGGCGGCAACACAGCCCCGGTGGGGGTGGGGTACTACCTATAATGGCATATACGCCGGGGGAGGCTCCCCCCGAAAGGGGTATCTTTTTTAGGCATCAGGTATTATGTATGAGAGGGTAGGATTTCACTCGTTGAAGTATATGAAAGGGTAAGGAAATCTGTCACTTCAGTCTGTAAGAAAAATCAAAAGGGCTGAAAGATGTATTTTATGGCTGTGAAAAAGTCGAGAAAACAAGTTCTGGTTTCTGATTTATTCATATTCAAAAGACGGTGTATTTACAGGGGTACAGAAACTACGGTAATACTCAGTGAATTTACCTGTAAAATAGTGTTTACAAAAAAGAAAACAGTCGCATAGGGAAACCTTCTAATGTCTTAGCCTGCGTAGCAGGCCCTTGGAAGTAGTGGGCACAAGAAAAAAACGGTGTTCACCCCTCGCGTGTCTCCCTCGCGCGCGCCCGTTATCTCTTTCGCACACTACTTCCAGGCTACTAATGTCTTTGATAAATTAGATATCTTGGGCTTACCTATTCGAAAGGGGAAAGCTTTTCAGCACACAGAGCGGAAAAAACAAGCAAACAATTTTGCAGGAATTTTGCAATGTCACGCGGGATACCCAGATCACTAGTGATCTAGGTATCGCCCGGATGGATACCTTTACCAGGGGACACCCAAAACACTAACGTAATATGAGATATCAATAGTGATTTGGTACGGGGATCGGGAGGCTACGGGGAGGGTTACGCTGGGTATCCCCGCCGGTCTTCTCTCCCGGCAGGCTTAGCACTCGGAAGAGAGACCCTGGGAACAAGCTTGTTAGAAGAATGTCTGGAGCTGAGCCAGCAGCCAGCAGAGGATCCGGAGAGCAATAGAGGGTGTGATTTTTGCCATAAACAAGAGGATATTCAAAAGGTTTCTTCTTTAGATCAGCCGACGTGTCTCTGTAAAGGTAAGTTTGATACTGAATACGTTCTTTTCACACCACACGCGCCGCCTGTTAAATATAGAGTCACTAAAAAAGCATTCTTTAGTAAGGCCGGAAGTTCGGCACGTTTCATTGCGACCAAAACTAATCTTTAGTTTAATGTCGCTGCAGAAGTCTCAGTCTAATAGCGTGTGTACCTAAGACGAGTGCGTTTTCAGGATTTTAGAACGCAGAACCATGCTGCTCTGAGTAGTTAGAACGCTAGCGCACTTGTCATCGCAAACAGTTGGTCAGCTGAATAACGACTCAGGGGCTGTTTACACGAAGGGAGGAAGCTCCTAGTACCAGTAAGATCTGAGAAGGCGGACCATCCTAGCACCATATGTTTTCTGTATTCGGTTTATATGCAACGGGTAGTACTTGTTCCTAGTCCTTGGATCCTCCTAGTACTAGGATCTTCCTTTTAAGATGATCCTAGCACCATGTAAACTGCCTTCGCATGGAAGATCCTAGTTAACCAGGGAAAAAACAGACAAAAATAGCGGCGGGTCTTTCAGTGGTTAATCACACAAATAAAGGCCGACCATTTTGTCTGGTGTTACCACGAGCTGATTATTGTGATAATTCTGCTGAAAGCAAGTTCTTAAAGCCAGTAAAGAGAGCAGAAGGGCCCAAATTGTACCCGCCATTTTTAATTCCTTCTCAAACATTCTAAATTTGGGTACCACACGGACCAAAATTTCTGCATGTAAACCCAACGTAAAGTTGATCCGCCTTCTAGGATCTTCCTGGTACTAAGATCTTCCTTCTTCCATGTAAAGAGCCCCTCATCAATTCCAAGAGTGCTCATCCCCACTCCTGGGCATTTGTCATTTTTTTTTTCAGCCAGACAGTTCATACAAGAACCCCATGGTGTGGCTTAAAAAAGTGTGCAAATGCCCACCCACCTAAAGTCCATTTTCCAGTAAATAAGCTGCAAATGCCATATTTATTTTATTCAAAAGGGACTCTAGTCTATAGAGTGTTTTCACATGACGTCACAGTGGCCATATTGGTGTCCCAAAACAATGAAATGGCGGCCTTGTTGGTGACCCAAACCAGTCATGCAGGAGTTGAACTCTTTTCTTGTCCAAACGCTTTCTTTTGTTCTGATAAATTTGCATAGATGTTTGCCACATGAGTAAAAACGCTCTATAATGACATTCAAGCGCATTAATGAACTTGCACCTGATTACCTTGCCTGTAATTTTCATGCAGATATCCACACTCGAAACACCAGGTCTCGCAATAACCTAAACATCCCAAGGTATAGAACAACCAGTGGCCAGCACTCTTTCAAGTCTGACCTCAAAAGTGAAGGCAATCTTAGTAAATTTAAGAAAGACATCAAACTAGCTTGCCTAGCAACCTGGGCATATGCTTCACAAGACATGGGTGGCTATGCAATTTTCCCACCAAAATAACCTTGAGTTGCATTTGGGTTAATAATTGCCATACCTGTTGATTGAGTTGTTTTACATTGCTATGCCTGTGGTGCGGACAGACGGATGGACGGACAGACGGTCGGGCATACAGTCACGTGATTACCAAAATTTCTCATATGGGAAGATTACCACATTTTCTTAGGTACCTGTATGGGGCTATGCTAGGGTGTGCTTTGTGCACACGTGGAGCTTTGCCCTAACTGAATGATAGATGTGTTTATGAGTTATTAAGATAGCACTCTTAGTTCCAGTATCAGCAGAGGAAATTGTCATGGAATCATGAACATGGAAACTGAATTGAACAGCACAGTAACTGACATTTAAAAATGTGAAGCCAATGCTACTATTGAGAACATATAAAATTTTTTTTGATTTTTTATGAAAACTTTTTTCATGACCTTTACCCTATTTTGAATACTGCTCAACAGTAAAGCTAAGAAAACTTGAATTCACTCTGAAATCTATGATTACTTTAACTAGTACTTAAATTACCTTAAAAGATGCAAATCACTGAGTACTCCACCTCAGACATTCTACCCAACTGTTGCATTCAATGAATGGGATGCATACCTTTCAAGTCATTAATTTTTCTCATGGGATTGCCGTGCCTGTGGGTTTCACAGGTTATTCTTGTGCAACCGGAAATAAATGTGTTTGGAGCAGAAATAAAAGGAAAAAAAGTGAAACATATAAAACCACGGAAGCCTATTAGGAAGGCAACCGCCATGTTCATTCTTCACTATTTTAAAAAAGACAAATTATTGTTCACACTGAAACCTCATTATTACTCTTAACAGGCTGTTGCATCTGTCATTACATAATGGAAAGAATAATGGCTTTACAACAAATGATTGATAAGAAAAACACGATTTTGTCCAGTTTTTACTTGGGACAAATTTTGTCTGCATTGCCTGTGAAGATTGTCCGGTCTGGGGCAAACTTTGTAAAATCATGCCAAACCATCTGCATTTGTGAAGCATTTGTGATGCCAGCAGGTTGTGAAGAGTTGGCCAGGGGACTTGAGCCAATCAATATATTTTGAGTAAATTAAATGATGAATAATTTTGTCTTGCCAAGATGTTTAATTTATAAGCACTTTTGATTCTGAACCTTGAGATTTCTTTTCCTTTTTGTTCTTCAAAGTTCACCTATTCACCTATCAAAAATTAAGATACATTGTCAGGGGTGATCAATAATTATTATATAACATTTTTTATTTGCTAATTATTACTATGTTTGGTATTTCATTTTAGATTTTACAAAAAGGGCAAAGCTACCTTTTTAAATTAATAATTTCAAACATGGAGGATTATTCCAGTGCAAAATTGAAAGTTTATGTTAAAGATGGAGGTGGAGTGGCAAGTTTGGATCTAAGTGAAAAAGGACTCTCCAGGATACCTGATGCAGTCACTGAACTGACTGAAGTGGAGGAACTCAAACTGATCAACAATAACCTGACTGAATTACCAACAAGTATTAACAAGCTCAAAAATCTTATCAGGCTGCATTTGAATAGTAACAAACTTACAGAACTGCCGTCTGAGATTGGTGACTTAAAGGAGCTGAGGAGGCTGGATGTGAGAGAAAACCATTTGCTTTGGTTACCTACCAGTATACAGAAGCTGGACCAGCTTGAGGAGCTGCACTTGTATGGTAACAGACTTACAGAACTGCCTTCTGAGATCGGTGACTTAAAGGAGCTGAGAAGGCTGGATGTGAGATACAACCAGCTGGTTAGTTTACCTACCAGTATACAGAAGCTGAACCAGCTTGAGGAGCTGCAGTTGTATGGTAACAGACTTAAAAAACTGCCTTCGGAGATTGGTGACTTAAAGGAGCTGAAGAGGCTGTATGTAGGTGCCAACCAGTTGGTTAGTTTACCTGGCAGTATACAGAAGCAGAACCAGCTTAAGGAGCTGCACTTGTATGGTAACAGACTTACAGAACTGCCTTCTGAGCTTGGTGACTTAAAGGAGCTGAGGAGGCTGGATGTGAGTAACAACCAGTTGGTTACTTTACCTACTAGTATACAGAAGCTGAACCAGCTTGAGGAGCTGTACTTGTCTCATAACAAACTTACAGAACTGCCTTCTGAGATTGGTGACTTAAAGGAGCTGAGGAGGCTGGATGTGAGTAACAACCAGTTGGTTAGTTTACCCACCAGTATAAAGAAGCTGGACCAGCTTGAGGAGCTGTACTTGTCTTGGAACAAACTTACAGAGCTGTCATCTGAGATCTGTGACTTAGAGAAGATGAAAAGGCTGGATGTAAGATACAATCCGTTACGTTCTGATCCAATTCATGTTATAGAGAGGAAGAGAATGGGACGTCCCAGTCCGGTTGTTACAGGTGGGTTGGGGATAATTTTCAATCAAATTGCCATCAATAAGACAGTTTTTCAGAATGGTACTTTTATTAGTTATAGATAGAAAATATTTCAGTTGAAGTAGTGCCATCATTCTGGCTTTGTTTTTCATAATTAGACGCTCAAGGAAAATTAAAAATGGCCAAACGAAACCTTCCTTTATACTTTGTGTAGTTAGTTGTTAATAGTTTCAGATGAAACTACTCACTGTGGCATTTGTTTGACTTCTATCAAAATTAAACCTGCGCTCAGCATCGGTGGGGAAAAGTTTGGGCCGAATTTTTGAAACAAATACGTGTAGTTAAAATTCTTTTTACTTCATGAGAACATGCCATCCTTTCTCGCAACAAAAAGGTCATCAGTTTTTCTACACCCCTCTCCGCCCGCCCACTGATGACCTCTGTTTATTGTCATTTACAAGAGGAAGGGGAAATGTTTTTTGAGAAGGCTAAAGAAGACATTTATGAACAAAAGTTGTAACAATGTAAATATTTTACCCGATAGCTTTTTGCATGGCTAGCAAATTTTAGACGATTTACTTCGAGTCGTTTTGTCCTTTCAGCAACAGAGAGAAAACTAAAGTATTAAATCGTCTGAAATTCAGGCTAATTAAAATGTATACTTGAGAAAAAAATTAGTACTTTTGTGCAACTGTTTTTCGCCGTTTCTTTCTTTTAATGTCATTGGGGCGATATTAAGTGAGAGCCTATTAACAGTTTGTATTTCAACAGTCAGTTATCGAGTAGAATGATGAATATTGCTGTCAAAACAGACCTCGACTGGTTAGCGGTTAATTTACGCAAATAACTGTCCCCAGGTAACTTAGCAGGATCTAATATGTTTTCAGCAAAAGAGACTACTTTGAATAAACCATTTAGCAATTACTCAAGGGCACCCAACGACGGTTTCCTTCCACATACATTCAAAACACTTTCTAGGCTATCCAGAGTACTTTTATATCTTTAGAAATGCATTGCAATCGGCGTTACAGAATTTGAATCTGTTCGGTATAGCCTGCGTGGCGGGCGCAGAAAGGGGAGGGGGAGGGAGAAAAGCGCGAAAGCGTGGAAAAGGGAAGGGAGCGCCTTACCAACTCTCCTCAATCCCCCTTCCCTTTTTCCATTCCCCCCTATCCTCTACCTTTTTCGACGCCTGCTACGCAGGCTAGTTCGGTCGCCCTAGTTTAACTTTAGTCTTTTCGAAATTACAAGGGCTTCAGTATTATTTTCCCGACAATTTAAGGTGCAATTTAAAGTTTTACGAAAGTAAGATTTTCTCTCCATCACATTTCCGAATCCGAAAATTTTAGGTTTCCTTTTTCTACGAAAAATTGCTTAACCTGGGGAGTGAAATGCGCGAAATTAAACTTTAGAAAATCGTTGGGGAATTTATTAGATAAGCCGCTTCGAAAATTATAAATAAATGGAGTGGTCATCTAGAAATTTTTAGCCTTCCCTTCCTCAAGCTATAGAAAATTTTGGGCAATTTTTGCTTCTCCAAACATATATTTTACAGAAAACAGTCATTGGGTGCCCCTGATTATTGAATGAGGGTGAGTATGATGTGAAGAATTTTGTAGATCGAGGAGGATTTGAGGTGGATAACAGCCTCCGAGATCTGTATAATTCTTCACATCATATGAAAGCCGCTTCTAATTTTGGGCTGACGTAACGAACAAATGTCTGATTACCACTGTAGTTAGGTTTACTGCCTTACGTGAGCAGATGCAAGCTGAGTTATTTTGAATGTAACAACTTCTTCTGTGGCACCCTGTTCTCAGGGGGAGGGAGTACTCCGGATTTTAAGTTACAGGGATGCTCGAATGCGGACAAAAATCGACCCTCCCCCCCTGAAAAAAGTCCATAGGGTCTCTAACAAAACGCAAAAAAATCACTGCAGAAAAATTAACTCCCCCCCCCCGAAAAAATCCCATGCCGAATATCAATGAAAGCCTTCTCGCTAACAACACTCGAGACACCCAAGAACATCTTCTGTTTCATCACTAACTTTATGCAGAATGACAACTTCAGATTGTTTTGAATACGCAAAAAAATCCCCACGTGAATCAAAATTTTCCTAATAAAAATAATACCGGAATCGAAAATTTCAAACTCAAAAAAATCCTTCGATCATCCCCGTCAAATGAAATCCGGAGTACCCTCGATCCTTGGACCCATTTATTTAAGGCGTTACAGAGAAAAAGTCTTTGTCGATGTTCAGTGAAGTTTTTCAAAGCTTCCATTTTTTTGTTTGATAACATTTAAAATGTTTAAAATGTATCGACAGCGAAAAACGCAAAGTAATCCGATCAAGCAAAATTTGTACCATTTACGGTGATATGCGAACGTTCTGTTTCATTTCTCAGAGGGGCTGTCCAAACTTGGTTCCCGGCCGGGAACCACGGCATGGGTACCGTGAGTACCCGATATGCAACTGTGTACATAGTTACTCCATTTCTCCCTGTCAGACGCCATTTTTTAAAAACATGAGCTTTGCAACGATTACAAAGCCGTGGAGTCTCACAGAACTAGTAATTACCTGTGTGCACATAGGGACTCAGTGTCCACTTTTGTGCCCCAGTACAAGTTCTCGATCTTGTACTCGGACACCAGCTCCGTGTCCGAATTCTAGCATGGGTATGCTTGAAAAAAGGGTGTGTTCACATTAGTGCCCAGCGAGTACAGTACTTGGGCACCGGGTCCGGGCACCAAGTGTGAAGGCTGCCTTACTTTTCCCCGTGCAACAGAGGAAATAGGAGACGTCTGCACGCAGGCTATTTGTTCCATTGATGTCGAATTCCGCTTTTAATAAAACAGAATAGTTTTTTTTTGTGGGCATAAAAAGCTTTCTGGTATACTCTATCCGTAGATATACAGGCAGCTTCAGGTTTATCCTAATTTATCTTATTATTGTATCTTATGTTCCGCAAGGAGGAATGAGTACGCCTTGGTTCGAACGAAAGAAGAGGTTAGAGGTAGTAGAGCCTGAAGATGAAACTAAACTTGAAGACGATACTAATGTCCCTCTCTGGAGAGCGATGTTCAAAAAGTCGCGTTTTAGTGAGTGTTTAATTCTTATATGAGTTATATCAGGGCCGTTGCTAGGTTTTTGTAACGAGGAGGGCGGGCGGGCATTATCGCGGGTGCTGAAAGCAAGAGCCTTGAAAGGGGATGTGGGGGTATCCTCCCTTAGAAAATTTTCAAATTTGGAAGCTCTGAAACGCTATTTTCAGCACTTGTCACGAGATATGTTTTCGAAAAATCGACCTCGAATCATGAAAATGGCAAGCAATTGCAAGTCACTGTAATCAAAATAACTGAGTCTAAAGAAAACAAATCCATCCACAGGCTTGATTTGCCTGGCTCAACAGGTCCAGAGGTGGAGGGGGGGAAGCTGTCCCCCTTGCGCCTCCGCTAGCCACGGCTCTGTATATCTGTTGACGGAAGACTGATTCCACGAAAAAAGATACTTTTTTCAAAGAACCGAAAAAGGCGTCTGCTCTCGCAGGCCTCTATACGTGTGGACGGGGCCTAATGTTGTTTTAGAATGGCTTTTATTTTTTGCACGGGTTGAGTGCATCGTGTGCACTTTACATCTACAACATAAGTTTTGCGTAAAGGGTAAAAAGTCTATATTTTGAGTTTCAAGCGTGTGCGAAACTTGTTAGGAGTTCAGTCACGTTCTTTTCAGTATTCTTATTTTTCTTTTATTTAAAAGATGATCTGACTAGTCACATCGAAGGCCCCCTTTAAAAAGTGTTTCGCTCACTGTGATAGTAAGCATAATTATAATCCGATCAAGCAAAATTTGTACCATTCAACGTGATATGCGAACGTTCTTTTTCATTTCTCACCTATAAATTGCGCGTTCAACAAGAGAAACAAGACACATCTGCCGGCACGCAGGTTATTTGTTCCATTGATGTCGAACTCCGCTTTTAATAAAACAGAACAGTTTTTTGTGTCAGCATAAAAATCTTTATTATATAAACACCAGTGAAATACCAAGTGAGCTTTCGCGCGAAAACTTGATATCTTCACATGTGAAAATATCACCATTGCGATTGCTTCATAATAAACCGCACCTTTCAGACCAAAAAACTTTTTAAGTAAAATGGTTTGGCATTTCATTGGTGTTTAAATAATGAATAGAATATTCACTCGTGAAATATTTTTCAACACTCGAAGAGAAATTTCGTATCTCCGCGCGTCCATGTAATATCCTCTATTTCTGATATGCTGTGTACGTAGTCATACAGACATCTTCAGGTTTATCCTAATTTATTTTATCATTGCATCTTATGTTCCGCAAGGAGGAAAGAATACGCCTTCGTTCGAACAAACTGCTGAAACTGGAATGCTTTCGAATGCTGACGAAGAGGAAGAAGTGGCCGAACCGGTTTTACCTGTGAAAGCCGCTAGACAAGAGGTTGTAGTAGAGCCTGAAGATGAAACTGAACTTGAAGACGATACTAATGTCCCTCTCTGGAGAGCGATTTTCAGAAAGTTGCGTTTTAGTGAGTGTTTAATTCTGATATGAGTTATATCTGCATGTAGACGGAAGACTAATTCCACAAAAAGATGCTTTTTTAAAGAGCCGAAAAAGGCGTCTGCTCTCACAGGCTTCGATACTTGTGGACGGGGCCTAATGGTTTTAATGTCTTTAATTTTTTCTCCGGGTTGAGTGCATCGTGTGCACTCTACATCTACAACGAAAGATGATCTGACTGGTCACATCGAAGACCCCCTTTGAAAAGTGTTTCGCTCACCGTAACAGTAAGCATAATTATAATCCGATCAAGCAAAATTTGTAGCATTCAACGTAATATGCGAAGGTTATTTTTCATTTCTCATCTTTCCGCTTGCAACAAAGGAAATAGGACATTCCGCTTTTAATAAAACAGAACAGTTTTTTTTGTGTGTCGGCGTAAAAAGCTTTCTGATATGCTGTGTACGCAGTCATTCAGATATCTTCAGGTTTATCCTACTTTATTTTATCACTGCATCTTATGTTCCGCTAGGAGGAAAGAATAAGCCTTCGTTCGAACAAACTGCTGAGACTGGAATGCTATCGAATGCTGGCGAAGAGGAAGAAGTGGTTGAGACACTATTACCTATGAAAGCCGCTAAAGAAGAGGTTTTAGTAGATCCTGAAGATGAAACTGAATTTGAAGACAATACTTATGTCGGCGAAAGCAGAAGTGTCATTACAAGGTAAGTACCGTTTGAATAAAAATTCAATAAAACCTCCGATGACGTCAACGGCAGCGGAAAGTTATAATTAAAAGTACGTTTGTGTAAAGGTACTAGCGAGACGTTGCTGAGTCGTTTAAGGCTTCGATTTTCGAAACTTGTGATAAAAGACGCCCTACCGATAAACTCATAATCAGAAATAACAAGCTTCAACATTTTACCCAAAAAGAGAGAAATGAACTAAGATATGCTACACTTGGTAAAAAAAAAAAAGAAAGTGGCAGTGAAACATTCTTATTCCGTGCGAGATCACATACCGTGACGTCTTGCTTTCCATAGTTTTCCTTTTTCATTCGGCTTCCACACCAGTGATCGGGGAAATCCGCGACCTTTACTCTCTGGAGAGCGGCGTTATTTAAAAAATAATGTTAACTATATTATTTAACATCAACTCTTAGCTGCTTTTATCCTCCAAAATTAGGATACCCTACCCTTAGCGTTGAGCAAAGAGACTAAACAAAGTCTGTCGTTGTCGGATTTCAAACAATATTCTTTTGAAAAAACAGAACCCTTAGTAAATTTTGACTGCGACGTTCAGTCGGATGCTCGTCTACGATGCATAATTATGCTTACTGTTACGGTGAGCGAAACACTTTTCCAAGGGGTATTCGATGCATGTGACTAGTCAGATAATTGTTTAAAATAAAAAATGAACCATTGTGAAAAGAACGTAACTGTAATCCTAATGGGTCTCGCACGCGCTGGAAATTCAAAACGCCGGGTAAAATATAGACTTTTTGCCTTTCACGCAAAACTGATGTTGTAGATGTAGAGTGCACACGATCCACTCAACCCGTACAAAAAATAAAAGACATTAAAAACATTAGGCCCCGCCCACATGTATCCAAGCCTGCGAGAGCAAACGCCTTTTTCGGTTCTTTGAAAAAGCATCTTTTTTCGTGGAATTAGTCTTCCGTCTACAGATATAATTACGCATATGCATGAGCATTGGACACTCACTAAAAACCAACATTATATTTATATTCTAGTACGACGATTTTTTTTGTCTTGAAATCGTCATAAAGAAGAAGACTAGCATTGACCCCTGCACTGCGTGGAAAAAAACCATTATTGTCCAGTCTCTGTCCCCATCCGCCCAAAAAGCTTTACTTATTGTATTCTCCATTTATTGTAGATTTTACTCGAACATCGAACTAGTGAAAGTTGTGTTTTGAAAACAACCGACTATTAAAATTTTGACTCATTGCAGAGAAATAGTGACCAGTGAAGGTATCTGCTGGGCCCTCAAACTAGGGGCTGTCCATCTTATATTCCATCCAAATGCTATGTCTGAGCCTACGTCAATAGTGGTCTACAGATGGAAATCCAGTGTCTGCTCACCCCCACTACAGGAACACGAGGCCATTGTCAGCAATGTTATAGAAATATCTTCCCACGATGGCCAACGCCTGAAATTCAGTGCCATGGTGACTTTGTCGCTTTCTCACAGCGCACCGGACCTACGGGGCTACGAAGTGGTGATAAAAAGGCAAATCAACAAGGAGACCAATGAATGGGAAGACGTGAGTGGAACCAAGGACTTACGCTGTCGCCAAGGTAATGTAGTAGACTTACAGCAACTATAGAGAACCGTTTGGCAGACCCTGTTTCCCTAAGCGGGAGGCAGTGTACGTCAGCCGTATTGCTGAAGGGTTTGTTTTGTTTTGCTTTTTTGAGATAGTGTTCATATCAAGCGTTGCAGTTGCGATTGCGCTCTCGATCTGAATCTTGTTTCCAGTCTTGATTTCTATAACGTCAGTCTTTTTTAGATGGCAAAGGAATTAAAAAAAGAGCATATGAACATTTTACTTGTATTTTTTGTCGGTAACAGACATCGAAGATGAGCGCCCTTCTCACAAGGATGTACCAGACTTTTTACTCCCCGTTACTCAAGCTGACATAAATGAGTGCTCAACATATGCAGTGGTTTGCCGTCTCAAATCTTCTCCGCCTTACACCATCACATCTACTGGCGGTTTATTCATTCATCCTGATTATCCAGGCGTGACAGTTACCGTCCCCGAGAATGCTGTTGCACCCGAGTCACCGTTTACCCTGGAGTTAAAGGTTGGTGTGATTCAAAAGGTCCATTTATAAAGAAAGTATTATAGGCTTTTTAAAGTGATACGTTTTTTAAAAAATGACGAACTGATAATGACCAGTCTAGAGGGCTTGACTGAAAAATCGTTTACTGAATATTTGTAGAGATCTTTTTGCTACTTAAATTACGTTAACTTTTTATTTAACTTGTTGGGAATCCACGTCAATTTTAAAGCCTAAAGAATACATGAAATTAACTGCTGATGATTACTCTTTTAAATGGTACAGGTGCAAGAAGTTCCAAATAAAGAATTTGAAGAGGAAGGTGTATTTTTTGGACCTATTCTGCGAATTAAATGCTTTGGGCTTGCCCAGTTCCTTAGGCCTCTAACTATTCAACTACCAGTTTCTCTTCGAGACCAACAAGACTTTAAACCAGATCCCATTGAATACCGTGTGAGAGTGTTTTTCGTGAATTGCGAGGAGGAAAAAAAGGAATGGACTGAACTCACTGATCTGGTAGAACCGACACAGTTTGATGCACAGTTTGTAAGGATCCAAGTCCAACGATTTTCTAGGTAAAGATACTTAAGAAATCACTAGTATTTACCAGATAGATGGCCAGTTGAGTCCCTTTTTATCCAAAATGTTGATCTAACTTCATTCAACGTTGTTGGATGCAACATTTTAGAGCCGTTTGCACACCATGTTCAACAACGGTGCTGGGTGTTGCTGGATCTTGTTTGAAGGTTCAAATTTAGCATTCAACATCGTCAGAAATTTCTTTTGTTCAGGTGTGCGATGGCCTCAATGTTGAATGGGCGAACTCTCAATTAAACTCGCCCCTTTTCCACGAAAATCCCGCCTCCCACACTTTTTTCATCCGTGACTCTCCCGAATCCCGCTTTTTTTTTTTCGAAAAAAGTCCAATTGCTGCCAAAGCGAATAAATGTAAGATGTAGATTGGCCCGTTCGATTTATGTTTTACCTCTTGACTTGTGCTTCATATTTCTTGTAAATAATCAGCTCAGAATTCACTCTTTCTACGCAAGGCCCTATTCAACGAAGTCGGATGATACGAAGCAGTGGCACTGCTTAACAACTTCTTTGAATCCAGTTGGCGGGCCGGCCTAAACGCACCTTTAGGTTCTTAAAATGCGTCCAAGTAATTAACAAAAATGTCAGTACTTCTTTCAAAGCATACCTGAGTTATTTAAACAATACCTATGCAAGGCAATTTTAGCTACCATCTACCTGTCAGGTGATCAGCAAAAAACATCAACTCAAAAAATAGGAAAGAACGTTTTTCCTTTTCAATCGACTGGAAACTTTTTCGTGGGCTCAGTGATTTACGTAGAATAATCCAAGATTTGAGCGATGCCATTTAAGACTCGTAACAATCTATCTACCCTGCTTTACAGTAATTTTTCGATTTTTTGGTGGTTCTAGATATTCGTTTGGCCTTGAGCGGCGTGAAGAAACCTTCAGAGCTGATGGCGTGGGATTCTTAAATTTCCTCACCCGCTTCACTAGAACGCAGCCCCAAGCAGCAAGTTTCGTCGCTTACTTTCGTCCAGATATTCCAAACATTTTGTTCCTTATTTGTTGCCCTGCTCACCTCAAAGAAGAGGTGGTTCAGGATCTTGAAAAAAGGGACGTAACGTTTGCTGATGGCAATTCGATGGAAGATATGATACCTGGAGAGGACAAAGCATTTGTGTTTTTGTCAGGAGGAATGCGCCCATTTGATGAGGAGGACCTGAAAAGAATTTTTCTCAAGTAAGCTGATTTATTGCTTATTCAAAATATTTTCCCGTTTCTGCTTGGCTCAAATCCCAAGGCTTATTCTTGAAAACCAACCAACGTTGACCAAATTCGGAAGACGTTTACAATATCCAGAAAATGACGTCAATGCTGCAGCTTAATGCCAATAAAATGGACTGCGGCCGAAAAGTCCGGATAAGAGTTTGAGTTGTGTTGGTAGATCAGTACAAAATGGCGGAACATACATCACTGTGCCTGCTTTTTAAGAACAGACCGATCTGAACAGTCATCATTAATAGCTGAATTCTCTCTGGTGACTGGACAGTTCTGTCTAATGGTAAGCGAAAGATTACGTCGGCACTATATCATGCATGTTTCTGTCTTACATTTAAACAGGTTATTAAAAGACGATATTAAGTTTAAGACTGAATTGCGAGTTCGTCTCGTTGATGACGAAGACCTTGCACAAGTGGAATTTCGAAACACCTCGATACACACGGACAGAACGCGTCTGTTGTGTAAGTTTCATTTAACTTTGCCGTCCCGCAAAATGTCCCGCGCGGTAAGTATAACTTATTATTTTAAGCTTGAGCATTTCATCCGTTCAAACCTCCTGTTAAGTTGAATAATTCTAGGTCGAGTATTTAACGAAGTTTAGCTTATGTTTAACAAATCCACCAGTACCACGTTCCAAGTCATTTCATCAGTTTGACAAACCGGCTATTATATCTAAACACCGTTTATCGTGAACAATTTCGTGAAAGCATATAGTGTAGGCTAGAAAAGCATTTATCTGGAGATCCCATGATTTCTTAAACTGCGGCCTAAGTAAGACTTCGTTGTAATAACCAACCCTTTGTATTGCAACTTAAGAGTGAACGAGCAGATTGCTCAAGATACACTGTAGTTGTAAGTTCTTTCTTGTAGAATTTTAGCCTGTCCAAGCAATGAGAAAGTTTACTCAAATTCCTGCAGGTACTAAAATTTAAATCATGTCATTTAAAGACAATCAAGAATTTTTCTTAATTAATGTTAACAATATTAACATTTCCAGTAGGTATAGAGTACTAAAGTGATGACGTCATAAAAATGAAATTTCTGAAATTATAGGATTTGTCAGGATATTCTGAAAGAACAATGTCCAAAGAGGCCTACTTTTCAAAAATGAGCATTTCGGGGCAAATTTTCTCTGAGTTATGCTTAGAAAACTCCATACAAACCCTACTAAATTTTTTTGGGTCGACCCCCAAAAAAAATTAGAATTACCATAGGCGATTGTTTTAAACTGGGTGATAAATTCAGGTACGAATTTAGGTAATTAATTTGTCGCATAGTTAGTTAACTTATATGTCAAGTTCATTCTAAGTGATTCTGTCTGGTTAAGTTAATTTAGCTACTTAGTTTACTTAAGGCGCTTTCCACTTGTTAGATTTGACTGACAGACCATTCCCGTTGTAATGAGAATTTCATTTTCTCATTAAACTTTCCAGCCAAATCAGTCCGCTAATCCTAAAAAGCTAGTATCCACGAAAGAGATGGTTTTTCCGCAAAAAATCTTCGAAAAAGCCTATTTCATTGTCAAAGTGACTGGTCTGGCAAGGGTCCAGCCGGCCAGTTCTAACTTTTAGAAACCGCCCTTAGTGCTGTAACTAGGTGATCACAAAAGTAGTAAACTGTTTAGTTCAGTTCCATGTTAGTTCTTAAGTACTGACTGTTTCAGATACTTTTCAGTTAAGTTCCTCCGTCAGTTTTCAGTTACTCCGTTCTTGAGTCCATCAGTCATTCAGCTGTTATTTAACAGTTAATGAATGAGGCTGAGTATCTTATGAAGAATCATGGAGATCGAGGAGGTGTTATCCGTCGAGGCCGTAGGCCGAGGCGGATAACACCCTCCGAGATCTCCATAATTCTTCATATGATACGAAAGCCGAATTCAATAACTGTTTTATTATTCATTCAAAATAATTCCTAGTTTAAAAACATAGCTAAAAGATGCTTACCTTCATCGATCCATCGATGTTCAGTTCGCCTTCGATAGTGTACGTTTAGGTTTGTCCAGCTCCGCAAATATTCTCCAAATAGCAGATGTCGCCCTTCGAGTTGTCTTCTTGCTGTTCTTGCCATGTTTTTAGCTATTTTTTCGCCTAGTTCTTACTCTTGAAACGAGTGAAATGTCCGCCATTTTTTCAAGTTCACAACCAAAACAACTCAACCTCGTCCCCAGGTCTTCTCGGTTAACGGTGCCTTAACCTGCGAAAACGCTGCATTTTTGACGTCATTTCCTCGTTAAAGTTAAATTTCTTCCAAATTTGGTCATCATTAACTGGTTATGGTGAATTAAACGTGTACTTTTAGCCAATCAGAATCGGGGAAATATTTTGAATGAATAATAAAACAGTTTATCTGTCATTCAGTTAGTCCTCCAGTCAGTCCCACAGTTTTTCAGTTCATTGTCTTTGAGTCAGTCAGTTAGTTAAAAATTTAGTCAGGCGGGTCATTCCATCTTCCAGTAAGTCAGTTAGTCATCCATTCTTTTAATCAGCTAGTCAGTACGTTATTCGATTAGTTAGTCAGTCAGTCAATTAGTTAGTCAAGTAGTCAGTAAGTCATTCAATTATTTGCTAAGTTGGTCAGTCATCCCAACAATTAGTCAGTTAGCCAGTCAGTCAGTTAGTTAGTAAGTCGGTCAGTCATCCAAACAATTAGTCAGTTAGCCAGTCAGTCATTTAGTTAGTAAGTCAGTCAGTTATCCAAACAATTAGTCAGTTAGCCAGTCAGTCAGTTAGTTAGTAAGTCAGTCAGTCATCCAAACAATTAATCAGTTAGCCAGTAAGAAATTTGGTTAGTTTCTTTAGTTAGTCAGCCAGTCAGTCAGTCAGTCAGTCATCTAAACAATTCGTCAGTTAGCCAGTAGGTCATTCGATCAGTTAGTCAGTCACTGAGTCAGTTAGTTAGTAAGTCAGTCAGTCAGTCATCCAAACAATTAGTCATTTAGCCAGTACGTCATTCGATTAGTTCGTCAGTCAGTCAGTTAGTTGGTAGATGAGTCAATCATCCGGTCAACTACAAAGTTTAATAGCCAGTAAGTCATTTGACTAGTCAGTCAGTCAGTCCGTCAGCTGTCCTCAGTTAATCAGTAAGTCATTCAGTCAGGTTAGACGTTCAAGTAGTCAGTCAGTCCTTCAATCAGTCAGTCAGTCAGTTGGTCATCTATTCCGTCAGTCATTTAGTTATTCAGTCATTTATTTAGTCATTTAGGTAGTCATGAATCGATCAGTTGGGTTGTCCTTCCATCCGGTTAGTTGGTCTGTTCGTCAGTCATCCGGTTGGTAAGTTAGTGTTACATTAAACAAGTAATTAGCCCTCGTGTAATAACAATAATAAAAATAGTGTAAATGATAATAAAAACTTTATTCAAGTGTCAAGGTATTCAGCTTTACAGCTAATATGTAAGACTGGTAAAATATTTTTTGGCCATGTCGACACCATAACGGCGAGTTTTTCATGTTGACATGACAAGCTATCCAGTATTGTATGAACACCTGTTTTCACTGCACCAAACTGTGACACAGAAACCTGTCCTATATCAGTGTAACCAACCTCGCAGTGTCAGAGCGGAAAACTTAGCACCGGAAGTAGTCACGCTTAGTCCTTTTTGTTCTCATCTCACGTTGTGTTTTCTTAAATGGTGGACGTTACATCGCTTTTTATGTCGCTTTTAAAATACGTTTCAAGGGTAATGACGTCGTTACTAATGTCATCTGCCCCAATCAGCATTTCGCATCGACGTTTTCGCAGCTGATATTCAAATTCCAGAGATGCACCTGTTGTTGCAAGCCCTCCTTCCTTTTCCCGCCCCGCCGCCAGAGCGCCCCGGAGAGCTTACTGGCAGGCTAATCCAGGTCTACAAATGAGTGTTCAATTCCTGCACCACTCAATCAGGGATGTTTGTCCCTATGGCCTCGAGCTGCTATTTAATACTATCCTTTAAAAACACTTACATTATCTGGATAGCAAGCAAACCAGTCGCGCCTTGAAATTATTAACAATTATTGCCCCATCCAAGAGAATCCGAATTCCGTAATCTGGGAAATTTTTGCTCGTGGAATCCGGAATCCGGGAAAAGTTTGCTTTTGGAATCCGGAATCCTCGGTTTGGGAACCCGGAATACAGCTCAAGGAATCCGAAATCCCACTAAGGATTGGAATCTAGAATCCAAGTTGTACTGGAATCCAGTACCTGGAATCAGGAATTCACAGCGTCGAATCCAGAATCCAAGACTGTCCTGGCTTCCACTACGTAGGGAGAGAATCTGAGGTAAACTCTTTCTTTTAATTTTCTTGTCCTCCCCTTAGTACGTTGCCAGCATGACGTTTGTGTTCTCTGTTCAGTACTCTTTCAGTTATTATTGTCACTGCAATTTGGCCTCAGTTTATAAACTGAAACAGCTTATTTTGGGCTTTGGCCGGAGACTTAGAGCCCTAAAAGGGTTGTTTCCGTTTTGGAACCGAGTTTAAAGGAAGAAAAATTAAGGTAGTATCGGGAGCGATCACCGTAGTTAAAAAAAAAACTAGGAACCACCCAAAACGGTTTTCAGAAGCAGGAACAGTGTTTTGGGTATCCTTACCGGGGGTACCTGCCCAAATCACTGAGTCTAATTTCTTAGTCTTCAGTAAAGAAGACATTATTACTACCTTGTCCCCAGGCCAGGGAATTTACACAGTTGTTCGTAGCCGCACCTGTTTACATTAAACGAAAGGGAGCTTCAGTTCAGCATTGGCGACGGCGACGGCAGGGCGAAAAACGTCTTGGTAGTGTTTATTCCTTCTCCGGGCCGTCGCCGTCGTCGTGGCCCTAAAATCGATCGGGCAAGTGAGAGCAGCGAGTTACTATCCCCGATTTTTTTTAGGGGAGGGAGCGGCTGTTAGCTTCCCTGCTGGCAGAGGACTCTTTTCTCTGTAGGTATTCGACAGCCGCACTTCTCCCTCAGAATTCTTGGTGGAGAATATCGGGGATTTAGATGACTAGCCGGAGGTTGACCGAAGAGAAATGATAACTTCTCGAAATGTAAAAACCTTTGGATGTGTGGAAAGGAAAGTGAGTCAGGCCTACAACTAGTGAAAAAGCTGGCTACGCCCCTTGCTAAACGCGTAAATAAAACCGACTGGTTCTTTCTTGCCGGTTCTCCAGTGTAGAGATGCTAGTGGGAATAAACACAAAACTGAATACAAGGCTGGCAATACAACAAAGGGCTGATTTATTTCTACCTGGAGTTTTGAAAACCGGCTGCCTGAAATCTTAAGTCAAGTGCAGTACATTGCAAGCATTATCCACCCTCAGCTCTTAACCATGGGCTCCAAATAACGTCCTGAAATTGACAATATCATTGGAAATTCCAGAAAAAATGCACGAGGGGGCCGGCTATTCCTTTTTGAGGGGGGCTTCCGTCAAACTAAGTGTCATGTTGTTGCACAGACACAGGGCTGTCTGGTATGAATTTAAAGTAGGCTGGTTAAATTCCAGGGGGGTGGGGTTGTTCTAAACGGCATGCTTGTGTTAGACTGTGGATTTGCTGAATGTTTGTGCCGGGGCTTATCCCTGTCTTTCAAAGCTCAGTGTCTCCCT